TCATAGTATCTTTACCTTTGCTCTTTATCTCATGCATACAGAAGTCCTTTATCTTTCTTTTGGCCACCTACAACACATAGTAAGAGAAAAAAGATCCGAGTTTCCTAAACCGGAGGCCAGTCCTGCTAAATCTGTACTGTCTGTTAGGAAGGGAAGATATCTGCCCCCCAGGAAGCCCTGCAGAACAGCTGGTGTCCACCCAGGGCTAACACAGCTCTAGCATGCAGCAATGGTGCCAGCATTGTGATGGAAATGGTCCATCGCCTCCTTAGTCCTGGGTCCAGGGCTCAGCCTTTGCCCAGCACCTAACTCCATCTGTGCTTCTACCAGTAGCCAGTGCCATCGGCTGAGCCCAGTATTGTCAAACTACCTCTTTAAAGGCAAAAAACAAGATAACTGAGACCTGTACTCTGCAAGGGCAGCCATAACTCATTCTCTAGTACCATGGTCACTCTCTATGGCAGTGCCTTGCCCTCTCCCAGCCCCACATCAGGTATGTGACTTGGGGTATCTGCTCCTTCATCAGTGAGCAAAAAACACGGGCTGCAAAACTGCACACCTAAACCATGCTGCTCTTCGAGGAGAATTCAGCCTTTGCTTTGCATACTCGTGCGTGGCAACACCAAAGTATGGCCCTGTTTACCGAGCAGGAAACAGGCAGCGTGGAGGCATAAGCCAGCCCATGCTTTCATCAACAAGATGTCCAGACTCTTCTGCATTGCCTAATACTTGCCTTCCTGCCCCCTCAGTCACCATAAAATTATAGCAACATGAGCTTTAAGAGGTGCAGGAGCTAAATGTCTGTCATTCCTTCATTAGAATAGAATAGAATAGAATAGAATAGAATAGAATAGAATAGAATAGAATAGAATAGAATAGAATAATTTCAGTTGAAGGGACCTACAATGATAATCTAGTTCAACTGTCTGACCAATTCAGGGTTGACCAAGTTAAAGCATGTTGTCAATTCAGGGTTGACCAAGTTAAAGCATGTTGTTACAGGCGTTGTCTAAATGCCTCTTAAACACTGACAGCCTTGGAGCATCAACCACCTCTCTAGGAAGCCTGTTCCAGTGTCTGACCACCCTCTCAGTACAGAAATGCTTCCTCATGTCGAGTCTGAATATGTCAAGTCTTGCAGTCCTTTTAAAAAAAATCTAGTTGTACTTTGGATCAGCAGTGAAACTGGGAGTGCTGGCAGGTCCCAAACTACACACCGTCATCTTTTGTAGAGTTTTACTGAAAAGGCACAGAGTTTCTACTAGTATTTGAGACATCATGTATATAAATAATCAATCAGCCTCACAGCTGAAAATGCATCAGAAAAACATTCAAGAAGTCCATTTTTGGACACTGATGTCCTATAATAGTGTCACAGCTCCTTGACTTCTAAAGATGCTTGTCTTTTTAGTTCATCTTCACAGTCTTCTCTAACTTCTTATGTTTGTAACCAGTATTCATGACAAGTCTTTTGGCACAAAGACTGGTTTTTACTGTGTCGTATTCAATCTTGTTGAAACTCAAACTTTTTATTTTAAAGAAGCCTCAACTTTTGTTTTCATGCCTTATTGCAACAAAAGGAAATACATTGAAATTCATCAGAATTTATTTTACATTTAATATTTTAAAATTTAATTTCAGAATCACACAGGGATATTTCATGCTTACATAAAGTACATGCTTATACACCCATCACTACTCAAAATGTTAAACCTCACTGATCCTGTTACTGAACATTACTGACATGTTATTAAATAATGTAAGAAACTCAAAATGTTAAATCTCACTGATCCTGTTACTGGACATTACTGACATGTTATTAAATAATGTAAGAAAAAAAAAATTTAAAAGAATGTATACAAAAGGAATCAATCTGGGGAGCGACAGCTTGCAATAAATCTTACAAATAATTCTTTTAGTGAATCAGTAATTCCCAGTGGAAAAAAAAAAATCAAAGTAATGAAGCAGCTTAAGTCTATAGCTGACTTTGTAGTGACTAGGTCTCAGTCTGTCTTGCACCTCCCTGTCACCCCGGGAAGTTCAGGTAATTCCCAGCCGCAGCTCAGTGCACAGAGCCCAGGATGAATGCCTTCCATCTAGTTCCTCTGCCACCTTTAAAACATACCCACTCAATTTTACCTTCTGATTGCAATTCTCAGTCCGACCCTGAAACAGACAACACACAAAGAAACTTCCTTATCTGTTTCTCTGCATGTCCTCGGTGCGGAGTCTATGAACTGTACCAGTACTTGCTGCAGTGCTGCCACTGAGTGCAGCTGGCAGACGGCACCACGCTGCTGGGAATCTGTCCTTGGCTCATTCATCCCAACTTCCAAACCAAAGCAAACCTTTCCCATCAGAAGGCCACATCCTGCCAACGAGTAATTTGATCGTTAAGACTGGATCCCTGCTGAAGTTCCCTGTAAGGATCACATCGCTCTGGACTTCTGTCACTGGATAAATGTGGTCTGTGCACCTTAAGTGCTGGCAGGATCAGGCTCACACCTCCTGGGTTTGGCCGAATGAATTGCAAGCAGGATTTTAGGGTGATTTCAAAAGCAGATGGGAAAGCCTTTTCAGTCCATGCAGCACAGCCTTATTCCTACGGGGAATGTCTTGTCTCCTGTGCTGTGTAGAGAAGTACCTTTGTATCATGTTCCAAGACTTTAAAAGCACCAACAGAAAAAATTTCACCTCAAAGACCTATTTCCTTTTATTTTTTTCTCCTATTCCTTAATACCATCACCAGAAATTGATGAAAAGATTTTTATACTGCAGTAATATTTACTGCTTATTAGTATTACTAGCTGTGACCATTCCCACGTGTCCCTTCATTGGGAAGGGATGCTCCTCTGTGAGGTCTGACATTAACCTTTAATGCTGCCACCAAGAAGGACACTCACCAGTAAAAACACAGGCAAACAAAAGATTTAAGCAGTAATTATTTTAACCTCGTTTCTTCCAGCCTAAAATACAACTATGGCCCCTGTGTTTACATGAGAATGACACAGATGCCACTAACATGCTCTGCATCTCTTTTCCTGTTGCCATGTTTGTGCTGCCAACAGTGCTCTTCTAAAGCCATCCAGCAAAGTGACACCATCAGTTCTAAGATCGATGTGTGTCAGGTCACTGGGCTGTGAAACAGAAGTGTCATAAACATGTAAGGACATGGCTTGGGCCCTGCTGTGAACGAAGATCAAATTATTTTTTGCGGAATCAGATTACTATCTTGCGACATATTCCAGTGGGAAAGGGTCGCTGCATTGTAATAGAATTTCTACTGGGAGATATCATTCCAGTGTTCAGAATTGTTAAAAAAAAATCTGAAATAGGTAAATATGCGAATGGATGGGATGCTACTATTGCGCTGCAGCTAGCACGATAGTGAGGTACTGTGTGCTTGGATGGAAAAATCCAGCTTAGACTGTACACTGCACTGTTTTGGACTACATTAAAAATCAGAAGTCACTCTTACCACAGGAAATGACAGCAACACAAAATGAAAACCATGATAATAAGCAATATGACTCTCCCACGCATTACTTCCTAGTAACACCTAAGAACACACATGCTTGTAGCACACTTTGAAAAAGTCAGCTCCATCGCAGAAGTATCATGAGCAATGAGTGTGTCCCTCTGAATCAGTCCTCCTGGCCTTCAAACAAAACTGATGACCAGGAGAGTAACAGAAGTTAACATGTGTAAAGCACTGTTAGATTGTGCTAATTCCAACAGTGTGACTTTCACGGGTATTTTTAAAATATGCCGTGGCAGAGAGAACAACAAACTCTCAGACTAGTGATACAGCTGTCAAACCTCAACACCTCAACTACACAGATATATGTGACAAAAAGTGGCCAATATCAATAACCATCCTGATTTAAACTTGAGAAAGATTGCTAGGGTAATTGCTGGTTTACAGTTGCATTTCTGTAGTGGTCAGTTATCACTGACTATGGTGGTAACCAGTTGGTGAGATGAAGAGCAGTAGTAAAGTAGAACAATACTAAACACTAAAGCATAGCGGGGGAAAAAAGGCCTTAAAAGAAGGCCAGACAAATATAAAAGAGAAAGAAGGAAAATTACACAGATACTGATAAAGTTTCTGAATTGCATTGCAAGAAACTACAGGGGAACCTATCCTACCCAAACCCCCTTCTGCTCTCCCTTCTCTGTATCGTTTTCTGCAAATGAAAATGTAACTTTTATTTATGCCTATGCATAAGTGCTGAGAATCAAAGGCATCAGACCCAGCTTCTGGGCAAGCCAGCACACTGCAGAAAAACAAAAAGGCCATTATTTGGATGGAAGAATCAGTCTGTATTACTGACTTGACTGGTCCCTTTTTTATGAGCAGCTGGTAGAGCAGGGATCAGAGAGTGTGCTGGTGTGGTGCAGATGTTCCACATATGTTATAAATAACAGCTGGTAAAAGCTCATCCTATTTTTAACGTTATGAGAAAAAAAAAAACAAGAAGTCACAGAAATTCCCCATTAATGCCTTGTAAGTGGAACTTTTCTCCTATTCCTGACTTTAATGCCCAGAACTGAATGGACAAAACAGACCATTCTTAAAATAATATTCATTAAAAAAGAAAAGAAAATGCAATTTAGGGGAATTAGATTAAGCCAGCCAGGAAGATGTAACCAATTAGAGTGTACAGTGTTTTTTCCTTCAAAAGCAGAGACTTAATCAGGATAAAAACAAACACCTGCAATTCTATTTCTAATAAAAACGTTGGATTACCACACTGAAGAGTTTCTCTAGCACAGCGCAAAAGCTGAGGGGTCTCTGTCCCACTGCATCTGGGCACTAAACCCAGCACCTCGTGGCTCAGCCACCACCACCCGCCCTTCCCAAACTGGTCCTTGCTTGTCCCTCGCTGGGCTGCTGCGTGCAGCCAGAGCCCATCGCTGGTTTCTGCTCACCAACGCCAACACTGAAAAGTCCAACAACGATTCAAAAATCCCAGCCCTGGGTAAATCCCCCCACTCACCTGTTCTCGGGGTCTGACACCGTCATGTTGCGCGTCACGTAGCACATCTTGAGTGGTATTGTCTTCTTGTCTCTGTGGATGGAGAGCGAAAGCTGCGACAGTGGGTCAGCAGAGGCACAACCCAAGCGGGGAGATGCGGGGGGAGGTGTCTCCCACCCGATTTCTGAAACAGGAGAGCCTTTCTTCACATAGGGTGTTGCTTCTCTCATGTATTTCACTGTAAAAACGGCAAAAAAAAAAGAAAAAGAAGGCAATAAATAAATGGATATCCAGTAGTTGCATCCCACGTGAGTTCTTTGAACCAGTACCAATCCTCAGCACTGTTTATTATTTTTATTCGTCCAGCATCATGGCACTGGAAACTGTGCAAATACAGAAGATGGAGATCTGATTGCAGCCCATCTCAGTATAGCACAATGAGTAAAACTAGGAAAAAGAACAGAAGAAACAAGAACATATGGCCATTGTAAGGCCAGAGAGCCATCTGAGCTCTGCTCTACAGGCTGAGAGTCCTGCAGCAGTTCCTATGTATGGAAGCTGTGAGCTGGCTGAGGTATAGGGAAGTTTTTAAGACAGACGTTCAACCGAGTGGCAGTGAATCTCTTATTCCCTTGTCTAAAATCTTCCAGCGATACTCCCAGTCCTGCAAAATCACATCTTGCCTGTGGTTCACGCTTGTCAGTGTTCCGCCACTGATCTCAACAGGTATTTCTGCTTGCTGGGGAGCAGTTTCAGCTGATCTACTTGTATCACACATATACATATGGAGTAAATAAAACCCAATTCACCTCTCAGCCTTCTCATGGGGAAATAATGGAGTTTGAGCCTTTCGTAATAGTGGAGTTGTCAGATTAGATCTCAGCCTCTTCCAATGCTTTTTCCAGTATAGATAAGAAAAGTGAATGTAAGATTCCCAAATGATCTTAATGTATGCAAAAATCAGTACCTCTTTCACACTCATACTTCATATTCCCCTCTTTATGCAGGCAAATATTGCAACATTTTCCCTGTTTTTGAATTCTTTTGGTGGTTCAAGATCACTTTAGCTTTTGCTTTTCCTGTGCTTGGCAAATCTGCCAGCCACAGTCTTCTCTTTCACAAACCTGACAGAGCTCAACCAAGACAAAACCCCACATTTAAGCATCCTGGTTAAACATATACATCCAATGTACACAGCTGTGACTGCCTAACTGGCTACTGCCTCTTGATTGTACCCACGACTCCAACAGCGACGAGACGAACCGAAAGGGCAGGAGCACTGTCAACTTATTTGGGGAAGTTATTAAAATGCTGTGAGAGGTGATTTCAAGGAAACGGTGCAGATCATTATGTCAGCTTGGCTGAAAAGGCTGAGGATGATTGAATAACAAAAAGATGGGTAAATTACAAAAGGGCATTGTGGTGAAGAAAGTTAAATTAGGGAAAGCAGACTGAAGATTTTAAGTTCGAAGTGAAAGCAAGGGAAGTATTCAGAGGAGTGGAGAAAAACAGTGGTGTTTCTGTGAAAACCACAGATAAAGTGGGTAATTCAGGAGCACTATTTTCAAGGCACTTCGTAACAGCTTTACCAAGAGAGAAAGACGTGCAAAGCTGGAGTCCAGGCTCTGGGAGCAGCTATTGCCATCTTTCCTCTAAAACACCTCAGCGCACATCTTGCCATTGCTGTCTCTCTCTCCTTTCTAAAAAAATCTTTTAACCTCAGTATTCATCCCTTCTATGTTTAGGTATTTCATAGGACATTCCTCTGTGAGCAGGATCATTTGTGATTTATCAGAAATGCTGTCCTACCCAACATTGCTGTTTTGATTTCTCTGCCCTATACTATTCTGAGTAATTTTTGAAATTCATTTCTTCCCTGCTTAGGGAAGGGCTGGCATGAGATTCTACTGGACTTCCGTAAACTATTTAAGGGAAAGGGTGTTGAGATTCATTTTTTCATCTTTTTGTAGACAGCTACCTGGAGTCCATTATCTAAAAACCTGTGTCATCTAACTCCCAAAACCTGTGCTCAATCTTGGGCACTCTATAAATTACATGATTTTCAAAGGCACTGAAAATGAGCAGTTTTAGTCAGTGCCATACAGATATTGGTTTTAGCAGTCAGCATCTCAGTTTGGATGTACTCATAAGCCTTTGGGAAATGGGGAGACTGAAGACATACAGGTGTGGTGAATCTAGTTCTGTTTACACTGAACAAATATGACTTTGTCATTCACTTAGAGAGGAGGAACAGCTGAAGCTGTAAAAATCATGTTTGCCGGCAAACAAAACTTTGTTCCCTTTAAAATTAGAGACTATCAGTTAATCTGCTGAAAAAAAGTAATCCAGTTGGCTTTTGAACTCATTACAGTGACATGCCAGCAAATGGGATGCTAAATAAAGGTCCAGGTCTCAACAGTGTAGCTATTTCATCTGTGCTACTTTCATCCTTTTTCAGCTGCAGCTATATGCAATTGACCTGTGCATCTTTTAATCAAGGAAAGGAGAGAGAGGTAGAGGAAGGAAGGAAGCTGAAGTGAAAAATTTGGCTCTAAACCTAAGCAGGAACACAAAATGTGAATTTATTTCCCCAGAGATGGAGACAGAAGAAAAGAGCCGTCCCTTCCGTGTGCCAAGAAGCAAAGTTTCCATGCGACGCACCGGTGAATTCATGGCAGGCAGCTGCACTGTTTCAGAAACACTTGTGAAAGTGGAGACAGCAGAAACACAACCCTCTTTCCACGAACTGAGTCTCAAACACAGCAAAAGCCAAGAAAATTACCTTGAGGAAAAAATGTCCTATGAAAACTCCTGCCAACTTCTGAGCTCCCAGACATCTAGTTTCTACTAACTCTCAACGAGAGATGGTTGCTCAGCCCCAGAGACTTACATGAATAAAGACCCATTAAGATCTTGGTAAACTGCTGAACACCATCTTCCTACAAAATTCTACAGGACAATTAAAAAATAAAGTGAATATAGGTTTTCTGGGAAAAACAATAAAGTATTTCTGTAGTTTTCTACTATTTACTTCCTATTTCCCACTAAATACAAGCACAGCTCTCTAGATTCATCGCTGAATTCTGCTGGGTTCTACAAACCATGCTTTATGGCTCTTGCATATTCAAATGTGTTTCATAGTTTAGAAGACCCCAAATGGATATACATAAATGCACGAACGGAATATGAGAGTGGAACAGGTGGCAGAACTTTATCCATTTATATAATTTTTTTATTATTTAAATTGCAGAGCCACTGTTTTCCATTTGCCCCATCAACATCCATAATTACACGTCTGTAACCAAAGTCCAGTTTATGAATTTAGCTGAAGACACGCTCTGTTCAGATGAATCATAACTTTTACCAGCAATTATTTCATATTTACCTCTAAACCCTGGCTGCAAATACTGCAGAACACTCTGGTTTATACCAATGCACCAGTAACCCTTCTACATACACAACAATTTATGACAACCTCACACATGTCTACTTTTTGCAGTCTGTCCATTAACAAGTTCTTAATCCACATAGTAGAAAACAAGTTGACACAAGTATGTATTATAGGCATATTCTTATTCTACACAGCACTATCTGAGAATCTTGGATGCATCAACATTAATGTATAACAGAAGTTATACAATTCATTTCCATCATCAAGTTTTAAACCCAGAAAAAAATATGATACAGACTATTGGACATTAAAGTAATAATGTGGATAATATTCTGTTGTCAGACCATTACACTCAGAAGCTAGATTTCCCTTTGGATACGGTAGCACAAATCCAGGTACCACCTGAAAAAGGAAGCAGCTACAGAGAACACTGTTTTTACATATTGCCAATGAAACTACCTAATGGATTAAAACCCAAAAATATTTAATGAAATTAAATAAAGCATGTCATTGTATAACAACTCTGAATTATGTATAACTATTCTATAGGCATGTATGTATATATGCCTTCAGAATATATACATATGTCTAATATAGATACAAATATTAAATATATATTTACATTAAAATACTACATTTTTTAAGACCACCAGAATGTATTCTGCAAACATGCAGGGACTGAGAAAAAGTTCTAATGGTTTCATTATTATAACTCGACTTACTGATAGACTGTACTTTCAGTTGAGAGTTGTCTAAACTCATCCATTTGATGCTATAGCTCAACCTCAGAGATCCTTATATTCAGTACTAATTAAGGATCCATACTCTTTTGGTGCACCACTAATAAGAAACTGCGGTCAAGCAATTAAAATTCCAATCTCCGGAGTGCCCCTCCCCACAAAGAGAGGAGGAAGGGAAGTGACAATCAAATGAATTAATCCACTGATACACATTGAAATACTTTGCATTTATTTTTTGATCTGCAAGACAGGCAATGTAGCTTCCAGAAAAGCACTTCATTTATATGTACTTGTGCCAAGTCCCAAGTCTCCACAATTAATCCTTTGTTACTGTTCACAGATGACTTTCTGGGAGGGAAGAAGCAGGCATTTAACGAGAGAAACACTACAGACCAGCTTGGTCAGGTTCTTGGCCAGATGCAGTTCTGAGGAACTGAGACTCTTCTGACATATTCAAACTGTTTCCTAGGAGGGAAAACAAAGACCATTGAAGAGAAGCCAGCACTCCTGAGCAAAGCTCTTTCGTTACTGTAAGAATGAGGACAGGATGTGTAGGTTTACAATATGAAAGCAAAAGGAACTACATGCCCGAATCTGCTTGAAGAAACATGATCAAGGAATTCCCCTTTGCAAAGAAAAAGCACAGTCTCCTCTTTATGCATTCATTCTCTCCTAAGTAAGTAGTCAGAGACAACTATCAAAGGTAAGTAGAAAACATCACCCAGAAACCTCTGGAGGCTATTTTCAAAGGATGTGCTAACGTGACTGATACCTACACTCCAAAAAGATAGGTTTTCTGAAGTTCCGGTACATCCACCCTCATCCGGTCTGACTTCTGTCAGGGTGAAAGATGGCCAGAGAAGAGGAGCTAGGCATATCCTTCACCATATTCTTATTCAGCTTATTCAGTATGAAGGGGCTGTTTGACTTGTCTGTGCTGAAGTGAGTACACCAGGCCATCTGCAAGAGTACTGCGGGCAGCACAGCACACAAAAAGTTTTCTTGCAAAAATGATTCTTAGTAGTTTGAGAAGAGCTGCTAATGCAGAACTAGAGGAGGCTCAACCTGCAGGTACGCCATTCCCACTTGGAAAGGAGGAAACAAATGAAGATAAACACTTCTGAGGTTGTAGATAGCACCACTACAAGTCCAAGATAAAAACTCGGAGCCATCTAACAGCTGCTGAAGCGATACTGTCCCAAGAAAAAAAGGGAATGGTAGCCAAACCTAGAAGCAGGTATGTGGCCTTTAGAAGAGTAGATCAGTGAAGCAAGTCACTCACTCAACATGGTTGTGTTGTTTTGCTTGATGAAACATTAAAACACAGAATTTGCAGTCCAGCAGTTTTGGTAAGGCACAAACCAAAATGCCCCAAATGGTTTCAAAGTTAGTTGTAACTTAAAGGAGAACTCTTGCCATAAAATTCATAAACTATGCCCAAGCAATGCCAACATTAATGCAGAGTATTTTACACTACTGTCAATGGAACTGAGACTAACAGATCTGGAGAAAGGTCTACTGTATTAAAATTAATTCAGTATCATGATACCAGAATTTGCCTGCTAGGTTTTATGTTAGAGATCAAATTTCCACTAAATTCAAGCAAACTGAATGCTCTACAGTGAAGACATGTATAAAAATGAGATGAGAAGCTGTCTAGCTGCTGGTGCCATCATCGAAACTAAGACCCAGATACTTGAAGAATTTATGAATCAGATCATCTATGAAGATGTATCGCATGACCCTTTCAACAGCTTTAATGTGGGCATAAACCAAAAACCAGCCAACAATTCTGCTTGTGAGTGTTTCCACTCCATTTCCTACAGAAACATCTGTTACTACGTTCAGACAAGTAACA